AGATGGTCAGTCCTAGAGTTGAAGAGAGTACATGAGAGCAGTGAGTATATTCTCTCATGGTAGGATTAAAACGACACTAAACTCAGGCATTAAATCTTAAAACTGCCTTCAAGTACCTAAAAGTGACATTAAACCCTCAGATTTTTTAACATAAACCAATACTGTAATGTGTGCCTTACTGTAATCCATGGTAGTTCCCCTTCTCTTTGCTGCTCTTCCTTTTAAATCCTCATGTCTTCTCATGCTTGAGGAGAACTTCCCTTTGCAGCTCAGGGCCTCTTCCTGTAGTGCTGGCTCAGGTTACAAACCTATACAAACCTATACACAGACACCATGTATCCATTCCTGAGACAAGGCAGTCTGCTGCAAAACAGAAGTTCTGCCCAGCATGAGAACAGATACAGATTTAAAAGGAAGAGCAGCAAAGAGAAGGGAAACAACCATGGATTACAGTAAGGCACATATTACAGTATTGTTTTATGTTAAAAAATCTGAGGGTTTAATGTCACTTTAACTATTTAAAACATCTTATTTGTGTATCACTTGGCTGTAGATCCTGAAATCAAATCTGAATTCATGCTGACACTGTCCTTCCTTCTGGAGGGTGGCTACTTTTGTTCCCCATGGCCCCTGTGTGTGTTGTAAATTAGTGACTGCTACAAGATTGCTCCCGTGATGGACTACAATCTCACGTTTAGTTTACTAAATTGTATTGTAAGCTTGGAGTGGTGGCTACTTTCCAACACACACATGGACCATGGGGAGCAAAAGTAGTCACCCTTCCGAAGTAGTCACCCTTCTGACAGTGTCATCATGAACTCAGAGATGATTTGTGGATATACAGCCCAATGATACCCAAATAAGCCACATTTATGTTAATTATTAAGTTCTCACCAATTGTCTGTCTTTCGCCTGTAGTGCAAAAGTTTAGCCAGTTTAGCTCTGACTTTTGGTGGATATTGTAAAGTTACTCTGCTCTGTTAGGTCTGTCAGCAGTGAAGTCTAAAGCTCAGTCGGAGTCACAGCCTAAGAAAATTGAGCACTCTATGTACAGAGACAAGGCTATGAACATGCCCCAAAGAAGGTCAGTTGTATAGTATGGGGGCATAGTATTATAGAAACCTAACAGTAAATTTGTCCATGTGTCCAGAGTCCCTAATGATCTAGGAAAAAATGCATAAGATGTTTTTGGTTATAAATATTGCTACTCTAGTTTTATCAGGAGCATTTGTTAGATAGGAGGTCGGATAACGTTTGTGTATAAATGAGGGTTGAAAGTCAGTGGAAAAGTGGGTTTCCTATAATAGGACAACATCTGCAGACAGCAAATGGTAATATTGGAATGACTTATGGTGTCTGATAGGGGAGTTCAGACCCTGAACATTGTGAGAGAGCATCTTAAATGTGTTACCTGTCTTTGAGTGGTTGGATAAGGGAAAAGGGGGGTCTAAGAATTTTAAATAGTAGGCTCACATATATCTAGAAAGAAAAAAGAAAAACAGTAAATAACAATTAACATCTGATCCCACAATCATACATGATACATGACCAGGAGTCTGCTACAAGACAGAATCTATGGATGAGTCCAAGTAGGAATGTGTGTCTACCATGTTTGGATTACCTTGAATTTTTTCGTTCATTTCAGTTAAGCCTGAAATATTCTTTTTGGTCCATGAAGCATTCTATAAAAGGCATAGGGACAGGTACTAGACATGCGCGATTCGGTTCGTTCCGAAATTCGTTTTGGACGAATTTTCGGAAATTCGGAGATTCGGATGCATCCGAATTCCGAATTACAGCTAAGACGAATGCAAACGAATTCGAAATTTCCCGATTTCCCGAAATTCGTTGTTGGTTGAATTTCGTTGCACCATTGACACCATTTTACCTCTACAACACATCTATGCTTAAAGTACAGAGGCTATAGTGTAGAGGTTAGAGCACAGGATTCCCATTGCTAATGTCCTAGGTTCAAATCCCGGCCAGTCAACTAATATTTAAAGTTTTTTTTTTTCCTTTGCTTTTGAATTGGCATTCTCCTAACATTGGCATTTTGAATTGGCTTTTGCTTTTGAATTGGCATTCTCCTTCTCCTTTGAAAAAAAAAAAACAGTCAATTTTTGACTAGTCCTTTAATAAAATATTTTTTTTTCAAAACGAAACTAAACTAAACAATTTTTTTTTTTTTTCAAAACGAAACTAAACTAAACAAATTTTTTGCTAGTGCACATGTCTAACAGGTACTTCTTAATAATGTATATATTATTACTTTATTATTACATGTATTTATTCACCACTCTATGCTAAATTAGTTATCAGATTATACACTGCTTTACATACCTTTCATTTCCATCAGTCCCTGCCCCAAGTAGTTTACAATTTAAGGACCTTAATCTCGTATGCATACATATTAGGACCTGTTTAAACAGGAGTCAATTAATATATCAGTATGTCTTTGGGTTGTGGGGGGTAACCCATGCAAACACATGGAGAACATGCACAATCCATGCAGATAGTATCCTGGCCAAATAAGGGTCCCCAATTCTGCAGGGCATACGTGCTAACAATTAAGCCATTGTGCTGCTATTGTGCTGCCTAACAATGGCACATGGTTGTTTGGGACTGTGGAGGACAATGTTCTATAGATTAGAAGATGTCAAAAGAGTGTCTTGTTGATGCTAATAGTGGACTTCCCATGGTGATCATTTGCAGGATGTTTGTGAGATGATTACCAGATATAATATCAGTCTGCAGGGAGGAAGGCAGTAGCTCTCCACTGGGATGTCTAAAAAAAGTGACTTCTCACATATCACTTATGTAGAAACCGGGAAAATACTTGGAGTGGAGAATCTCTATGAAGGAAAGAGAGAGTGCCAAATGGTCAAGTCCATATAGTTTCATATAGTTCTAAGAATATACATTTCAACCTTGAAAGTTGTCAGGAATCTGGCAGCAGGTTTCAACAGAGTGCAAAGAGGGCAAAGTCCTTGGCACCTGAGGGTGAGCTAGGTCTAATTTTGCCTCATGATTTTTCAAGGAGGAGATTTATTAAAAGCTCTCCCATTTTTTGGTAGATGCCAGCTAGTTGACAACAAAGGCAGATTCGTATCTGGGGGGATCATCGCATGTGAGATCTTGGGTTTATTTTAGAAACGTCTCTGGAAATGCTACGCAATTTGAACAGTAGGACCTTCCTGAAATTTTGCAAAAGAGTAACTCTTATTGTTTAAGAAGAAGAGATGAAAGGGGAATGTCCATCTGTACCATTTGTGTTGCTGGTTCAGGGGTTTGATTGACCTGCATTCTAGAATTGTTACAGGGTTGATGTAGGCAAAGATCTGCACTAGATCACCCAGAATCTCTAAATCCTTATTTTTTCAAGATTTTTTCATCACTTGTTCTTTGATACCATAGAAATGTGGCTTTACAATTATATCTTGGACCAGATCCTCATAGCAGTTAAATATTAGGAAGCGGTGATCCCAACCAATTCGAGGCAGTGCTCCAATTTGTCAGGAATGATCTCCTCCAGAAATGCTTTGTCTGGTGACAGATTTAGGCAAACCATGAATGTAAAAGCTGGATCTGCAAGAACTGTCTTAGGTTGGAGATTTGCATCCTGGTGGGTCTCTGCATATGGGTGAGTTTCAGGGAAACAACACACTGAGCCCGGAGTCTCCTTGTTGGCATTCTGCAGAGGAAGCAGGGCCATGCTTTTCATGCTGTGATGCTACCATCATGTTGGGGATGCCGGCCGGTGTAGATGATAGCATTTTCAGCATTATGCTGTGTTGTTTGGTCACCATTTGGCCATCAGATGGGTGACAGCAATATGAGTAGGTAATAGAGGATCTCCCGAGTCCAATGATCAGCAGGAGTTTGGTAGTAAATGGCCATCGTGAAGTGGAGCTGCTGCACTGTGTAGCCATCTTGTACAGCTGTGCACTTGCACCCCTGATAGCTACATGCATAACTGTCTCAGAAACTGTTTTGTTATAGGCATCATGTGAGCAGTCTGCGACAGTCTAGTAAAACATCTGAATAGTCTCTGACAGTCTTTTGATACATGCAAGCAGTCATGTCAGTCTCTCTTTTCATGTCAAGAGTAACAGCAGATTGCAGATAGGGTCAGCTATTTTGCTATTTTTAGAGGAAAAAAACATTTTACTCAAAGTGGTCCATTTTTATACAAGCAGTTGCTGTTAAACCATGACTTTGTAACCATGCCTTATTGCAGTAAATCACATCTACATTTCACCATGGCACACTGTTTATGCTGCTTGCATTTGATCCCTCAAACTCATTTCTTCTGGTGTGCCCCAGATCCCCCAGTCCAACACCGCCAGCACCTGCTTCAAAATGCAATTATGTGGAGCTATCAGTATAGGAGGGCATCAAGTACAATGCTTGGCTGTCCTCTGTTTTCCTCTAGCCCCTGTGGTGCCTCCAATTGCCCACATATCTGACCAATTCTGATAAGTCTAGTACAGTACCATTGCCATGGTTGCAAGGGATTAAGCAGTTGTCAGTTTCTCCAAATCAAATCTGGGTATAAATTGAATGGAAAGGAATCTTTTACTACCTCTATATTACAAAATGGCCTCTGCGGAAAATACAATATACTAGTTTCTTTTTATTAAACCGATGCATAATTTTCTTGAAGTTTCAGATTTTTTGAGGTTTCAGTTCAGTTAATATACATTTTTAATTACTTTGTTATTGAATTTGCAACATTTATTGTTGCATTACAGCATGCTATTTTGCAGTGTGATATTGTTGTTCTATATTATGTTATGTTACTCTATATTATATTACATCACGCTATATCTCATTTTGTCATGTTAGCATTGGCAAAAAGATAAAGTGTGAGATTTCTGACATTTATATGCAGGATTTCATCTCACCACGAGAGGGGGTAAAATATCCTATAGACATACAAAAAGCTTATGTTCCTGTAGTTCTAAAGGTCTTTTTATTTTTTGGCAAAGAGCTTTAATACAAAAGGGAACATCTTTCTCACACAAAGACGAGTACCCACTTGTAACAGCATGCCAATAGCACTATACATCAAGACAGCATTGCCTCAAGCTAGCCAGAAACATAATTGACTGGCTAGAGCTTAAACTATGCTTATTTCTTTCTGATAGGGACAAACACTACGAGCTCACAGCACTCTCTTCCTGCAGTTCAGAGAGCACATTACTAAGCTAAGGCAGAGAGCATTAAGTAGTATAGTGAATGGGAAGAAGCTGAATGGTAAAATATTACAAACCTCTTATCCTGCAACAGAGAGGAAACCTTAAATGAAGATGCTTATATACACATTTATTTTGCTACTGCTATGTGTTACCGCAATTAGCTTGGATCTGACATATAGTCATAGCGCTGTTCTGGATGCCCAGGGTAAATATAAAATAAGCTGGACCCACAAGGACAGTACCATTACCTTTCTGGTTCAAGTGGAAACGCTGGGCTATGTTGGATTTGGATTTTCACCAAATGGGGCCATGGCATCTTCCGATATAGTTATTGGAGGGGTCTACAGAGGAAAACCCTATTTCCAGGTATGCATTTAACACTCACATTTTATTTTATGTTACTCTTCTGTGCTGCTAAAATCTTTTTTTTCTAGGCCTCCAAATGCTAGAGTTTTGTCATAATATTCAGAACTGTTATACATATGCCAGAATTTTTAATTGTTTCACTTTTGCCTGAAAATGTTTTAACTGATGAGCTGCAGTGTTAGGAAATGTGTCACATTTAGCATGATATGTGTCACATGTAAGCATCCCAAACAAAAAACGTGATGTAAATGTTACTTTTTAATGAATTACATATTTATGAAAAACAATTTTGAATAGAGAATTAAATTGGTATATAACTACAAAATAACAAAAGAATGACCAAATATAAATATATTCATATAAATCAGTAAATTCTAATTACCAAATGGATATGCTGATAAACATTAATTAAAAAAAATTTCAATGAGCAGTAATGTGTATCCTACATTAGTTTAGAGAGTTAAAGAATACTGATTGCAGATTAATAATTCCAATGAATATTAATTATGAATGTAAATAGCAAAACAATGATAAACTAATAAATGGTTATCACATCAGTTGTAAAGGGTGATAGAGCAACAAAAGTCTTGTTGCAAACATTTTGCACCAATGTCGTAGATACATTGGAATTGTTTAATAGGTGTTGCAGGCTTAAAGAGCGATTGTTTATACAGTCGCAGAAAGATTGTGATATATTTATGTTGCCTCTTATTCTGAAAGGTTCGATTCACATCTTTGCATTTTTGCTTGGTGTGTCAACGCAGCATGATGCATGCAAACACATAATGATGTGCATAAACATCAAGGTATGGCAACACAAGTTGTTATGCATTTTGATGCATTTCTATTGATTTTAATGGAAAACATATTATATAGGAAAAATGCATACGTGTGCATCCAAATTGTTTATCCCAAAGTGATAGTTGTTTTTTTTCTTGGTGGGGGGGAATGGGTAGAGTAGGGAATGGTTAAGACCATTGTCAGGTTTTTAGGTTTGTCAGGTTGTCCTGTAGTGGAGATTTACCCTTTACGTTCTGTCCCAGAGACACAGTAGGAAGTGATAGGAAATCACTCCAAATCAAGGATATATACCCTTTCAGACAGTTGTCACCAGAACAGGGTTACCCATTGGAAGGTTTCCCCTCATGCCCTGTTTCTATGAAAACTCAAACATTCTGAATTTGCCATAACGTTCTGTGTCAGACTAAAACGAAAAGAAAAAAGTTTTGGCCTAATATACACTTTAATACCCTTTTAATGGCTGATTAGTCAGATGCCTCCAAAAAAACAGCATACAATATTGTTTTCCTATGGTCTATGCATCTACACTCATGCAACATACAAAGATATATTCATAATCACATGTTTAAAATTTCCTGTAAAATCTGAAAGGTTTGCATAATTGACTGATTGTTATCAGCCAGCATTCACGTGAGTTTTTGAAAGGGTTCCACGTGATGGAGTGTTCAGTTTTCTGAGTCTGGCATGACAGCTCATGTGCCACAAGTGGTTGAATAAACATGCTGAAACCAATGTTTCCTGCTAACTTTTATCTAGTGCATGTGGGCAGTTTAAAGCAAATTTCTCCTTTTGCCGTTCAAAATTACAGGTTCTCTTGAAAGGCCACCCCCCTCATCCACTGATACTTACCTTTCCCACCGACCCATTAACTTGAGAGAGCACTAAATCAAAACCCTATGTAAGCTCTGTATCAGTGTTTATACAGGGTTAATGACCTTCTCCCCTCCCTCACCTGTAAGGTTCCCACCTTTTCTTTAAAAAGCACCTGCCTTATGACCTTTTTGCTATTAACATCATAGGCAATAAACCAATTTTTACTGGACAGGCTGTTAAAATTCTAGCCAGGAGGCACCTTTACATGTATGACAATGTTTGAGGCAAGAGATTGGCCTCATAGGCCGGAGCAACACATCCTGGAAGGTAAAGCAAAGGTTATATTCTCCTCCATGTCCACAAATGCAAGCAGCAAAAGGGCCGTGTGGTTGGTGAGCATGTGTTTTATGTTTCTTTATACTTGGTATTTTAATTATTTATTATTATGTAGATATCCCTTACCCAATGGAGGTGTTTATGGACCCCCAACAGCCAGGCCCGGATTCCCCACAAGACAGCCGAGGCCCGACCTCGGGGCAGCAGGGCGCAGAGGGGCGGCAGTGGTGTCCTTGTGGGGAAGTTGCCCTCTCTACATTCAGTCCTGCTTTGTACAAGCAGGACTAAATGTAGAGTGAGGCAGCCTATTTTCCGTTTATATGTGAACTCAGCGATGTCGCCGAGATCACATGTAAACAGTGTGCAGCCTCCTCCCCTCCCCCCTGCACTTACCTCTCTGCTCTGGTTTCCGGTCTCTTACTGCAGTGAGCAGAGCGGCAGGGTTAAAAGTAACCCTGCCGCTCCGTGTGGACTGTTTACAGTGAGAGGGGAGAGCTGTGCTCTTCCTCTCTCACCTGTCACAGGAGTTCCAACACAGTACAGTACTGTGCTAGAACTCCTGTATTGGAGGTGACAGGGTCAACAAAGAGAACCTGTCACCTCCAATTGCTATCACACAGTGGATTGTTTTCTCCTGTGTGATAGCAATAAAGTTAGGTGGAAAAAAAAATTAATTGATTTAAAAATTGTTTTATAAATAAACATTAAAAAAATTATATGAAATAATTAAATAAAAAAAATAAAAAAGGTGATTAAAAAGTAAAAAATAATAAGAAACAAATTATTAAAAAATAAGAAAATAATTATACAAAAATAAACAATGATAAGATAAAAAAATTATAAAAAAGTAAATAAGATAAATAAAAATCTAAAAAAACATTAAATTGATAAAAATTAAATAAATAAAAATAAAAAAATAAAAATAAATAATGAAATTAAAAAATAAAAAGTGATAAAAAAGTTTTTAAAAAAATAAAGAAACAGTAAAAAAAATCACACTAATGGGATGGGGGGGCGCATCGCAGAACCTGGCCTTGGGGCGGCAGGGAGAGTAAATCCGGCCCTGCCAACAGCTTGGAGGGCTAGCATTTTTAACCTTAGGATGGAATTACTGACTCTGTTTTTTGGAAGAAAATGTGTGCTAGTCACTTTAGGAAGTTTGCATAAATTATACAATAAATTCAGAGAGAAGGGTTTTGGGTACGGGATACCCTAAAGTGACTATAAATGCAGATTCCAGGCCTCTGCTCATGCTCAATCCACAAGAAGGGACCTTTGAGCCAAAACTGCAACACTTTACTCTTCAGACTATAGAGTAGCTTCATACAGCACATGTACCCTTTGGAGTAAGTAGACAGGAACCAGGGCTGGTGCAAGGATTTTTTCCTACACAGGCGAAGGTGCATTTTTGCGCCCCCCACCGCCGTAACAGTACGGAGAACCGCAAAATATGTTGAGCAGGACCATAAACTAGCACTAGCCGCACTCCCTTTCCACTAACACTAACTGGTTAAATGATCCATAGTACAACTACATGTTATGTACTATGGATCATGATTTAACCTATTCATGTTAGCAGCGGAGAATTGTAAATCTATTGCTGTAATGTAGTGGAGGTGTGTGCTGTATATATGTACTACATATACATTATACACATCCAGTACAATATAGCAATACATTTAAAGCCAGCCCCGTACCAGCTTCCCTCACTCACAGTTTCACTCCGATCCCTGTAGCCTCACGCGGTGCCTCTTGTAGTCGTCGCTGGTCAGGATCGCTGCATTGTGTCTCGGTGCTCAGCTTGTGGGAGGCGCTCACAATTCTGCCCTGCTAACATGAATAGGTTAAATCATGATCCATAGTACATGTACGCTACACACGTCCACTGCAATTCAGCAATAGATTGACAATTATCCCCTGCTAACATGAATGGGTTAAATGATCCGTAGTACAACTACATGTTATGTACTATGGATCTTTTAACCTTTTCATGTTAGCAGGGGATAATTGTAAATCTATTGCTGAATTGCAGTGGACGTGTGTAGCGTACATGTACTATGTACTACATATAGAGTATACACTGCAGACAATAGATTTACAATCATCCTCGGCTAACATGAATGGGTTAAATTATGTTGGATTTCTGTGACATCATTGTCCATTAAAAGGACTCATTCATTTTAACGGGCTCATGTTGGATTTCTGTGACATCATTGTCCATTAAAAGGACTCATTCATTTTAACTTATGGAGTGCTGGTGACCTATTTTCTTCAATCTTGTGTTTTGCACGGTGCCATCCGTGAAGTTACTTCGAGCACCATTTATTTGATTGTTGGCCGGGACTGCTGAAAGGTGTGCGGAGGGCACCTCCATCAATTGTATCTATAGTACATAACATGTAGTTGTACTACGGATCATTTAACCCATTAATATTAACAGGGGATCATTGTGAATCTTTTGCCGGCAGTGTATTGGGAATGTGTACTGTATATATGTACTACATATAGAGTATACACTGCAGACAATAGATTTACAATTATCCTCTGCTAACATGAATGGGTTAAATGATCCGTAGTACAACTACATGTTATGTACAATTATCACCTGCTAATAATCATTAGTTCTTATTAGGGACCCCCTGCCCTCATTTACTGCTCGATGAAGGTGTCTCGCTGGTGAGGTTGTAGTCAGCGGCGCGCTGTGCTGGAGAGCAGCGGCGAGTCAGCGCTGGTCCGGTGGGAGGAGCTCCAGGTGGGGTCCTAATTTAGCTGGCTGGCAACTGCCAGAGGATCTCGACACG